CCTGCTAAACGTGCATGAGTTTTAACTTCAAATGAAGAAGGCTAATGCTTGAGGTAGGGATTTTTCATAATTCTCTGACAAAAGAGCTTCTGAAATAGTATAGTATTTCATGGATTGCCAACGACAAAGTATGGTTCTGAGGATTTAATTCACCGAAAGAAGTCACACTAATAATAAATATGCCATGCATCTAAATGAGATCACATAGGTGTTGCATGGTGACATATTTCTGTGTACATAACGAGATTCGAAAACTATTACGTCAGCTCGTAGTTGCTAATAACCGTTCAGTGACCGTTGGTTCAACTGTCTCGGTCCACAACCTAAATAAAAAACAACTACGACCACCAGTATACGTTTGTTGAAGTGTGACTTTTTTCAAAAGTAACCACTGATATTAAACATTCGTACTCTCTAGACTGCATGAGACGTTTAATTTATTTTTACATCAATTCAAATATCAAACGAATCATTTTAGCTCAGTTTACCAATAATAACACCAGGTTTGGAAAGAACAAAAACAGGTTATTTGAAGATACATTTGTGCAGGAAACAGCAGATGATGCTGCCCAGGTACATAAAGGTTTCCACATCCTCCAGAGCTTCCCCATCAATCAGTATTTGGTTGGTTCTGTCTGTGTGAAATTTCAGGATTCCGCTATTTCCCCTGTGTCTGTTGAGGCTTATTGCTGTAGAGGCTGCTGTTATATAGCAAACATATATAGTATAAACTCATTTTTTATTAATCAACCAATATTTTTTAAAGTCATCTTTAGCCATTTGAACGATAACCGGAACAACAGACAATATAAATCCATGAAATGTTAGGACAGTTAGATCATCGGCGAGACTGAATATCATGGGTCCGACTATCAGTTTGCAGGGTCATGGATAAGCATACCCGAGTCCCATACTGGAGTGAATCACTTGTCCATCACTCACAGGTTATGATTGGTTTAGCAAAGATCAGTTCGTGATGGCACTGAATTTAAAAAACTTCCACAACCCCAAGCCGACAAAGTGAAGGACCTGGAGTATGATGCAAACAGCTTGGAAAAATTGAAATGGTCACATTGTTTTATGTATATTTTGCTTTTGTACACGATTTTTAGCCTTATGTGGAGCCTCAAATGATTCCGATTATATCGTTTGATAGATCTGTAGCGTGGTGTCGAGTCCCGGTTGACTATAAACACCACTACAAAGGAACACGTGCCAGGATATCCATAAAATCCCCTGGAAGCCAAATATCAGAAGGCAGTTAATGGACCAAGTCGAGATATATTTGTGTTGTAACGTGGTATGGCTGCAGGTTTTAGATACGCAGCGTTATATCGATCGCTTTTGTGACAGTGACCCGTGACACGTAAACATGTAAGGATGACCTAGTGCCCTGATTGGCCCTGCCTCCCTGTCTGTCCCCAGCCAGTTGAGTCAAGAACAAAAGTCACAGCCTCGGAGTTATGAATCATTATATTTCAAACATACTTTGTTTATATACCAGTCAAGCATACCACATCGTACCATAAAATAGGAAACAACATTCACAAAATATTTAACAAGTGAAGTAAACATCGACCAATAGGAAATGTACATTTAAAGTCCAAGGACACCATTGGACTTAACATCATAATTATTGGTCTATTTTTCCGACTACCTAACAATTTGCTGGCGATCTCGTGGTATCGAAACAATACCAAGATCGTGCCAGGGTACAAGCTTGGTTACTGAGAGCAACCGGATTCGCGCAAGGTCACAATCGAAGTGAGTACAATGGATGTTTTTAGCACAGTTAAACAAAGAGCACATTAAAACAGTCACTGGTACAATTGGTTATAATAATTATTGTTTTCATTAAACCAATAGTCTTTTCGTGGTAAAAGTAAGTCACTACAGATCGTTATTGAAACATACATGTAGCCAATCCTCGTATATCAACACTGACTTAACTTGAGTTACTATATAACGGAAAGGATTTCGAATACGTATATACTGTACAATCATTTATCTGAACTGCCAATCAGAGGAACAAAACGAAGGAAGCGGTGAAAAAAATTGAGGTGGAATGACGCTCAGAGGAGAAGGCATATAAGCCAACTCGATTTAATCAAGCGTTAATCGATATCTATTGTCACACAAAAATAAGTTACAGACATGTGATGAATGGGGTAAGAAGTATACACATACGCTCATATAAGAACAGTCAAGCTTAGTGAGTAAATAATTGACAAGATCAGAACGTGACGCAAGAAGAATGAGTAAAGTGACCTGTCCAAAAACTAAAGGAAGTTATGTAGGTTTACCATAGTAACCGACACTATAAGCATATAAGTGTTTTATAAGATCGTCAGTAGTGGTTGGTGGGTCTTGTTATGATGGGTCAGATTTCGAATTTTATCTGTACGGTTTTTAAGTACGTTATGTGCTTTTGTTCCTTCATATTACTTAAACTTAGATTAATTTTGATTTCGTTATTTATTCTCTGGAGAAGTGGCTTGCACAGAGTCAGAAAACGTCAGAAAATTTAATTTTTCTACTCATCGGGATATTAAAAATATATTAATTTATTGATAACAATCTATCCAATCCCTAATTTACTCGAAATCATCAAGCCACGCCTTGGTAATAATACCTACGTTTTCATATTTGCCACCATGTCGGAGTTTTTGCAGTGAACAATATGTATCAAATATCCACCTTGATGTCCTTTTATGATTCCGCCAAATTTTACTGGTATTTATTGGTTTCTCTGTAAAATCTGAAAGAACTAGCTGGTTTAGCAATTACAGTTCTGGTGTGAAGAGAACAATGAGGGGATACTGAAGAACAACGGAATATATTTTTGGGGACACTGTTTCATTTGATTCCAAGTCTGAAAATAGTAACATTTTTAGTTTTTTTTCTCTGGTTTATTCCATAAATTTAAGCTTCTGTTTGATGTATAATCTACATCTTTTTTCTTCCTTATTTCGAAATTATTGTAATTTAAACATAATCCTCTGAACTTCACTGTTCTCTCCTAATTTTTAATTTGAAGATAGTTGTCTTTTTGAACTCCTTGTCCATTGTAGTCGTTCTGGTTGCCAATTTATTCATGCCTTTATGCATTGATATGAATCAGAGACAAACCGATTAGTGTTCCGGTCAACTCGTTTTTTTCTCGTCTGTCAAGAAAATAATTTTCATTCTCCCCAAGGCTTTTCAGTCATAAATCAGACTCTTGCATCACTAGCCTCAAGGCTGAACTAGATAACTAACGTGATATGATGGAAAGAAAAGTCAGAATTCGATTGATTTACTCCATATGAGTTATGTTCGGCATTACTTCCGTTTTGATCCAATATAATGATTACTCAATGTAGTATTTATTTTATTGTCTCGTATGATATTTCATTCTGTATAATATACTATATTCTTGTATTCACTTGACATGAACTATGCTCAGTATGTGATTTGTTATGACTCTATGTATTTTTCATATATATGGTTTCATCTTAATTATTAATCGAAATAGGTGTACGACCAATATATAATTGAGTGTATTTTCTACTAGAGTCGTCGTGTTTTTGGGTCAATAAATCTTCACTTACACTAGTCTTTGTGTTCTTACTTTCGCGTCGTAGGAATTGCAGAGATCCTTCGTTTCGAATATAAGTGATAATCGTTTCCGACACGACAATCAGCGATGACCAGATATGAAAGTGGCATTCAAACAACAAGACATATCAGTACCTAGGTCTCAAACTTATTCAGAACAAACTCTGCTGTATGTTATTAGACAGAGGGATCAAAGACGTAGCAAGGTTACATGCATCGTCCATATCAGCCAATGATTGTTTGTTAATCTTGATGACCTGTCGCTCCTCAATTGCAGTTGAACTTTGCATCCCACAACTATCCTAGGGTTTTTATATGAACTGAAGAGCTAGATAGCATAGATAACATATACGGCAACATAAATGAAAATAACGCTAAAAGGGTTAAGATTCTGGACAAAGCTGGTACAAGATCCAGAGATGAAAATTACTTTTGGCTGCTTGTATTGTAACTTAATGAATTTTCGAGCCCATAGTGACGTTTCCAAGGTCTCAATAAATATCCAAATCCCACAAAACTTTCAATTATAAATACTGACTTACAGCAAAAAATACTCTGGTTCAAAGGAACAAGTTGAGTTTCCCTGGCAACTTGAATAGGGACATTAGATATTTGTTGTTCCAGTTTGGATTTGTTCACGATAAAGCTTCAGTACTCTTTTAATCAGAGAATGATGTTAATCACTAACGTAAAATGACTACATGGGTGGTCGATAACTATTGAAGTTGGGCGGGAAAAATGTGATCTCCATTGAAATCATAGCGCTTGGTTGGAGGATAACTTGTACTACCTTTTCGGGGTATCCATGTACTAGAGCTACTTTGATGACTGCATATAATAAACATGCTACTAATCAAGGAATGTGTGGGTAAGAATAAGCTAAAGGAAGTCGGGGTGAAACAACCACCACACGGGATAATCTATGACGTGCAAATGAATGAAGATGTTAGTCAGTCATGACATTGGTGATGTTCGACAAACTGTCCAATGTAAAGTGATCTATCGTGTAAGGTAGAGATTTGTGGTGAGGCGAATTTTCTGCTGTTACGTGTTTTCAGTTTGGAACACATATATGATTGGCTGTGCATAACTGATTTGAAACTAGACCGTCAGCTGTACAAGAAGCACTCAACGTTTAAGCTATCGAAATCCCCCTTGGGGCCATAGCAGATGATGATTTATTTACAAAATTACATTTGTAATCAAAAATGTTTTTTGAACTTTAGACTCTGTCAACCATTATGAATCATAAGAGTGCTCGTAAAATGCAACGTAGAGTTTGTTTCACATGAACAGAAACTTCGACTTCACATGTCATATTGGCAGTGTTTGAATCTTCCAAAATTGTCACTATTTTATGGTACTCATTTTAAGCGGACCATTCAACCCTCTGTTTGTTGTTCATGTATTTTGGGGATTGTTTTATAATTACGTCGCTGAATTATGTTATACTTATTTTTCCTTTTCTCTGGATATCTGTGTTTAGCAACTACCTTGACATTCCGGTTGTAGAAAACTTCAAATATTCTGATAATCATTCGGAATTATTTGATGAGTCGACCGGTTTTTCTTATGACCCCATGAGTCCTTTGGTTAAATGCTCTTATCTTCCTCGTCATTCCATTTGGTGTGAACCTCCCTTAGGTGGGTACCTTGTTAACTGTAATATCTGTTAGATTTAAGAAGTAACAAGTCGCAATACGATGAATTGAAATACGGATGTTTAAAATGGGGCGGAAAAGCGACTGATTCGGTTATGCTGACATCACTTGTGTGTCATGCTTTGGACAATATTGAGTGCTACGGGAATCGTACCTTTTTGTTACCCGATTATCCCTGCCTTCATTACAAAGGACATTACTTTGTAACAACATTCCTATACAGCTTACTACTAGGATTTTTTGGTGTTGACCGGCTATGTCTGGGTCATACTGGTACAGGCCTCGGTAAACTCCTAACATTGGGTGGGGCCGGTATTTGGTGGATAGTGGATATCGTCCTTCTCATTCGTGGCGATTTGGGTCCAGCTGATGGGAGTTCCTGGATGCCATTTTACTAGAGTTATGTAAAATTGCTCATTAAAAAACTTAATTCCTATTGTCTTGCTTTGTTTTTAAGGTATTGGCTGGTTTAAAAACCACAGCATTAATTTGAATGTCAGGAAGTGATTTTCGTCTGCTTGATGATGACACTCAGTTCATGGACAAGTATCCTAATGGGCTTTCTTTAGTTGATTTGCTGCCATTTTATGACTCCATCGCTAAAAATGAACCGCTTAAATTAGAATGGGTTTGTCCAGGGAAGATCGATCCTAACGTTCAGAGGGAAAGTAAGTTTGATGCAAACTTAGGGGATAATTTGTTCTGTGGTACTAATCCCTAAATTTTTTCAGTAATTTATGTGGTTCGTCGTTCACTGCCTTTACGGGAGTCGGAACTTCCGGACACAATCTACTCCATTCAAATTAAAACGTGCCCGGCTATCTATTTGTTAGTAGGAGACTTGCTACGTACGAATATCGTTTCCAATTAACCTGTTTCCGCCAACGTCTCCACAAGTGCTTAAGGAATAACTCCGAATTTCTAATCAACTGCTTTGGATGTAAATGATTTTATATGACTATGGGCGGAACCAATCACAGTCACACGGATTCCTGCTCTCTATTCATCTTATCTATTCTTACACACTGGTTTCCTCAATATTCTTTTTGCTAGTTACCTATGTCTTTGTCTTGGAAAATGTTCTACCTTGGATCGTTAACGAGTTCCTAATGTCAAGACGTTTGAGTAGTTGTAACAACTCAGTCGTGATAGTTAGTTGTTAAGTACCTTTGCCTTAGTTACTTGTGGATGATTCTTTTAAAAGCTGAGTTCTCCATGCTTGTTATTTTTATGAAATAGTGAGATGATGGACAATAATCGGATTTAAAGTATCTGAAATGTTAATTGTAGCTCAGTCAGTCAGATACAACGTAAGACCAGGCACATATGTTCAATATACTTGTCCTCTAATTGATAGACGGATATCACACCTTTACCATAGGTGACGTAAATTGGCGAAAGCCAAACGATCTTTTTGCGGTTCACCAATCTCTAGCTTAACATCGCTTAAAAACATCAGGATACTCACATAAAGACTCCCATTTCTCCATACTGAATTCGCAGGTCATCTTTTGTAAGGATAGATTATGCATCCTTGAAATAGCAAACTTTAGAATGAGTTTATGAGGTAAAACTGGAAGAATAGAACTAATGTTCTGCTTTATTCTACTTTAGGATATGCAGTGTTTAAAACAGTTCATTATCTGGCCATGCATATCTACTGTTTAGAATTTTGCGCGAAAAATTATGTGGTATGATATCTAGGTAACACTGGGTTCTTCGAGTGAAGCACTTAAAGGTCTAAACGTAGACAGTAAGATCTCATTTGTACTTTGCGAATAAGTAAGAAGTCAAGGTATTTATTTGGTTTAAATCTCGGTTAGGTTGCTATAATTTTTACTAAAAAAGAGGTTGATTCCGTCATTTATCTTAGAAATACTATTTACATAATGGTTAGGTCAAGATTTCTATATTGCTTGCATTAGACGTCGTTTCCCATACTGAAATAATCAGCGTTCGAATCACATGATAAGACTTGGGTAGAGTTTCCGTATAGTGACCAAAACTTCCGTTACGTTGTGTACTCGACTGAAGTTTACTCTTCCATAACTAATCGTAAACCAAATCGTACTTGATCGAGATAAACCCCAGAAAAATAAGATATACTAATCAACAAAATGTACTGTTTCTTTTCGCACCCGTTCATTATGTAACATCGTCGTATTTTATCATATTGAGACTTCACTAAAAGGGTTGCTGTTTAAAAGTAAAACCGCCAAGCTAGATTTTTGTGTGCCTATTAAAGTTATTCATTGATAGTTTGCGTGGGACCCGACACGAGTCGGTCCAAGTTGACACAAACTCAGCATGTACAAGATAAACGGTGAAGTCAAAATAAATAAAAAAATTAGTGTATGAAGAAACATCAAAAATGTCAATTGGAACTGGTATCTGGATTTGGTGTGTAGATATATAATCGATGAACGTGTGTTATTGCGGCTGTTACCTAGTCGCTTACCATAGATTACGACTGTCACGCAGATTCTATCCAGGGAGTCTCGTCACAGACTTTACTCAGACAAACAAGAAGTGTTGTGGTCTAGTTTGACGTCTTTGTTTGGCCACCTCTAACCTATTCCCATGCTCACCATCACTATATGCCGAGGTAGGTGATGGCGTAAAGTTCATAACTCATGTCTCAGCTAAGCTGGTGAAGATACCTTACTCATAATTACTCACTAGGTCGCTCCATCAAATATGATCAATTTTTTGAAGATATCTACAGTCGAATACTCGTCGCCTGTACATATCTATTGCCCTAGCCCATGTTCCTCACCCATAGGTTAATATATGAAGAATTTCTGCAGTAGTTAGCAAATATTCAGGTGTCTTTGTATCTGTTGAGATTTTGAAATCTACCAGAGCTACTAAGACTTGAGGGGAGTGAAGTACACGGTGTACTCAATTATATCACTTTTTGGTTAAAGTGAAAAACCAAAATATTCTGCAACAACCCAATCTTTATTAAATGTCAAATAGCCGTTGAAATGGAAGATATGTGTGAATTGTATTTGACTTTATGTCTTCGTGGTAACGGTCATGTATAATGGACTCCTGAATTAAGCAATAAAAGTGAACTGTAATAAAACAATCAAATTATGTGGTTGGGATGTGTTACTATCTACCGCTGATTAGCATGTATAGTGATTTAAAACAGAATCTACGTGTTGATAAGCGATACTTGGTATTCGTTAGTTAAAACAATCTGAGTCCTTTTAGTTTTCGCTTATTTGTATTAATCCCTTTAGTTTTGTTTCACTCAATCCGTGTTAAACCTGATTATTATACTTTAGTACTAGGTCCTGCGTTACATATGTCTTTCGGTCCACGCAGTCAATTGCACTGTTTGTTCTTGATAGCTTGTAATTTGAGCCGTAGCTTGTGTTCAAGCATTCTTTCTTTGTATGGAACAAACTGATACGTAACAGGGGAAGAATGAAGCTTGATAGTTAGGGACTACTGTTGAATGGTCGATGACCCATAATTATCATATCCTACAATCGTTTATTTGTTAAGTGACTCATAACCGTGTTTATTCTCGTGTTCAGTATTTTGTATGTGCGCATTTTATTTAGTTAAAAAGAGATCTATTTTGCTGGGCGAATACCTATTTTGTGATATCAGTTCAATTGGAGGACCACATCAATAATTCGTTCTCGTGAGTAATCACTCGATCACCTCAAGTGATTGCATACCGCCTATCGACTAGCATTAAACTCATTTACTTAGTCCAAACGCCCGTTCGGAAAAATCTCATAATGCGAACTGATAAGGAATTTGGTGTATTTTATTAACTACAATTATCATCAGTTTGTACTTTCAAATCGTCTTTATTCTAATTTGCTCTCATCAATTCTCTTGTGGTTAGCTGTAGACATTCAACATTCCTTTTTCTTCATTTTCTCAAAAAAAATTTATAGCAACCAAAATTCGTACCGAAACAAATGATAATCCTGCCCCGAAGGTTTCAGAATCCTTAACTAGTATTGTAAAGCTAAAGGAGTTCGACTTTGATGAGTCTCCAAACCAACCATCTATTCCTTCAGTTCCACTTGGTGCTGCTGCTCAAAATGCAAACTTGCCACTTAGACGTCTAGCAGGCACTTCCAGACATCCGCCTCGTCAACCGCGTGTAGCTAGTATGGATAAAATATTAAATGACTTTTTCAAAACGCGCAAAGAGCCTTCTTCCCCTGCGGTTGTGACTGAAATATCCACTTCATCTATTGCTCCAAGTGCTTTACATTGTATTCCATCGTCTGAAATTTCCCAGGTAACTAATATTTTCACTGAGACAAACAACAGCAGCAATAATAACTCCGAACAGGATAAACAAGAAGCCCTTGTTGCTGAACTAGCTAAAGCTTCAGTGTCACCACAAGTTTATAATCATCCAGATAATATACCTTCAGATTTCACACCACACGACAATTCTAATGTACGAATTACCTCAATTGATCAGGAGATTTCTGCTTCTGTTGTAAACATTTGTGATGAAAGAATAATGGAACGTCATAAATTAGAAGGTACAGACCTTTATATTAATAACACTAATTCTTCCGATTACTCTCCCATGAATGTTTCAGACATTCCATTCACCTCTATTACTGTAAATAATATGTCCCAAAGTGAGAATGAGACACCACATTAGAGTTACTTAATAGGTGTGGTGTAAATCCCAGTTAATAGAATATATTTTCAAACTCTGCCAACTAAATAGTCGCATTTTTGTGAAATATTTATTTAGCAAAAATACAAATGCATAAATGTACATAGAATTCTTGTACACTGGATACATTTTATGTGGTTGTTTTTCTGTTATTTAAATAAATAATCGACAGGTATTCACATTTATTTCTTATCGTCATCATTTGGCACCACGAGAGAATCCGAGATCGTTTGAAATACTTCTATAGTCTAATAATTGTGAACTGACACATCAAAATTGATTTCATCAGCAATGACTTTGGCAGTAGGGATTTAAGTGGTTAAGTTCTGTATGGGTATGAGGTTTTGGTTGGGAAATTTTTGGTATTGATACCGAAAGCTCAGTTAACATCTCCGTAACTGCGTAATCTGCGGCATACATATACTTTTTATGAAACAAGCATGAGGCTTCTTAGATTTTCATAATTTATTGGGTGGGAGTATTGGAAAGCAGTGTGGTAAGACTCGCTTGTTTTGAAAGCATATTTCACATATAATACATGAGTTGACTGACTTAAAGTTTTAGCTAGAAAAGATAATCAGCAGTTGAATTTGTGACCTAGCAACATTTGAGGATACTAGAGCAACAATAATAATAATAAACTCTACTTGATAAGGACTACCAATATATTTTTAATACCCCAATATGCTATTTCGCTAGTGTTGTTTTCCGAAACTTTCACTTTTTCTGAACAACATTGGTACAAATCGTCCTCTTGAGTCGCAAGTCTTCTCTATCATCTCGAAGTACTACATCTTAGTCTTAACAGAAATGTAACGGGTAAATCCGATACCATGTGCAACTGACTTGGTGTTTCTATGACAACTTTGACTTAAGTAACTTAGGAATCATTGATGGGTAATTGTTTATTAATGAATTATAATTATATTCGAAAGGGAAACTTGTATTGTTTTGTGATATAAACTTACAGTCTGTCTATCTGTATACACTATCATACTGTTAGTCGTTTTTATGTTGCATCATCTATTCTACTATATTAGAATACAAGTAGTATTCATTCTCTTTTGATTTACACTGAGAATAGTCTTACTGCAAAATAAAATGCAGATAGATAAAAAAACATCTCTACTTCACAAATCAATCAGTTTTATTTATAGAAATGTCTCATAAAATATTACTTGAAGAGATATCTAAGATAGATGGAGGTACACCATATATTTTAGCCTATTTTAAACTTCTCTCTCTTTGCAAGAGAAACTACAATTCCTTAAAAATGATTTCGTTACTATAATTAATGCATAATGGAACATATTTACAGATGTATGTGGTCGATTTTCCTGAATTGATGTGACATACGACTAAATAAAGATTGCTAATTCAGATCACATTAAGAAAATAAAACTGAACCGATATTTATATGTAATAAATTAAACACATAAACATTGGTACAAGGAGGAATCAAGTATGCGCCACACACCATTCGATTTGTGTGAGGTCCGGGACTAATAAATTAAGCATGATAACAGACATTGCTAAGAACGTCTAGGTGGTACTCATCACCATTTGACATCAATTAAAGTAGGATTGAAAACCAGAAACCAATAGACAGCTGTTTTGCAGTAGTGTAAGACCATTTAAGAGTACCAACTGACGATCATACCAGGGTTCAAACCCAGAATTGAAAAGTCCTGTACTAGTACGAAGCTGTTCGGTACTTCGTTTCTGATGGGGCTCCAACTGTGATAAGTTCATCACACATACGACCTACCAGTCAAGTGAATCTCCACAAAATCCCTTCACATCAAAATTAATAAGCTTACTTTAAAGCATAAAAGACTGTAGGATGCAGCTTTTGTAGGTCGTTCACCACCCAACGAAATTAAAACTTGATTACCAGAGACCCAACTTCCATATCTATTATAATTCTCGTCATAATTTTCATCATACTTTATGGTGAGATTCAGATACATATTTCTGTAAAACATTGCTGATTTTATATCCAGTCAACTGACAGTCTAAATGTTTTCGATTATGATTTTGCAATCCATACTAGCACAAGTTGGGGTGAAATACGTCTGAACACTGAGTTTAGCTTGAAGAATAGTTTTTATTGTGTTTCTCTAAAGGAAACTAACTCCCTCAACATGTATTGTTTACGTTCATTATAGAAAGTGACTGGTGCCAGGTATACTTATTCTTATTATCAAGACATTAGGTAAGTGATGTTTGTATATATCCATACGTCATATCACGAGGTCCTTTGAACGAGATGAAGTGGAATTAAAGCCTAGTTGGGTGCTTATGCTGGTAATGAACTAAATAATCTAGTAAACATAATGGTTGAAATGAAGCAACGAAAAATGTTCGGATATACTTCAAGTATTTTGATATGAAACACTGTTCAAGAAATCTTGGATGCAATTATTTGCGTCAATAGATAGGTAGCTACCTTGAAGTGTTTTTTCAACTAGGAAAACTACTAAAAAGTGACCTTACCCGAAACGCTGTGGTAGAAATATGGCTCCGACAGTTTAATTTCTTAGTCAAATTTATACATTAGGCATCGCCAGACAGGTTCGATATAAAGAACTGCCTAGGGTCTCTTTAGTCTTTATATAGTATATGGGAACTAGAGCTTAGTACATACGTCTACAGTTAACAAATGAGTTTAATCGTATTATATCATCTTAAAGTAGAAAAAGAGAACAGTTCGAGAGCAGTGTGAAAAAAGCTTATATATGAGTTTCAAATTCATTTAAGCAGCTGATGAAATTCAAATATGAACAGGTTAAATCCAAATCCGCGGGAAACACACAATCTAATGAAGATAACTATATTTCTATCAAATTGCAAGCTAAGTAATTGACAACTGGGATGTGACTGTTTTGCCAAAACAGTGAATAGCAGTAGACCATTTGTTACTATGTTTGAATATTTACGTAGGTGATAACTTTTCTGTTTCATAACCGTATTTACTTAGTTTGCTCGACAGATTAAAAAATGTATTTGGAATTCCACAGAAAGCTGTAGTCATATTAATTGAAAACGGATGGATGGTTGTTTAACTATATTGTGAGTCTGTTAACCAGCGAGGTCTCTCTGATTTTGTGATTTATGCTACTGCGTAGTTTGAATAATCCCATAGGTTATCTAATGTTATCGTCAAACTAATCACTGTAAATCATCCGTTCAAATGCTCTTCCACAGTAATTTTAGGTTGATTAGAAATGCTTATATTTTCGCTTGTCAACAACTCTTTGAAGTTGTACAGATCAAATACTAATGCGGACTAGTGAGATAATGGAGTGAATGGGTCGATATATTTCATTCCAAAGAATTCGTTCGTTATGATAAATATTGACTTACTTAACAACACTACAAACTAGTAAAAACTGCAATTAACTAGTTCAAATTATCTCAGGTCTATCATTTAGATTTTTGATTCTATTCTAGATTAGTAAACACAAGAAAATAGTAAGTATACCAGTTTAAAACATGTTTCATAAATATTTATTATCATCATTATTAATTTATTATGTAGAGAACAATACGTTTTGTTGAAAAGTCAGATGTAAACAGATCAACTTGTTCAACACTATTCTGCATAAACGTGTATTGAACATTGACAATATTAAAAGTCGAAGGTAATAAACAATTGATATAAATACCAACCCACCTGAACAACGATTGTTGTGTCATGTACATGAGTATATTGAATGGATAGACGATATACATATATATATTGTTTGCATAGGCGTGAATTTGTAGGTATTTGTCATGATGGAGAAAGTTAGCTACTATTGTATAGTGTAACTACCGCTATGACGTTTAAATTCACAGGTATTCATGCTGATATACCTCGATAATCATAATATTAGTAATGATAAAAGTCAGTAATTAAGTAATGACAAGCAAACACAATTATCTTGACAATAATCTATCAGTGTTCTCACAGATGAATAATCAAGCATAAAAGTATAGTAAAACAAATTATTATAATTAATTGTTAATGATGATAGAAGAAATGAATAAAACAATCTTGAAAACAATAATATGAACCAATAAAAATACCATTCTATCTTTAGAAAACTGTTTTTTTTTTCTTCTTCATGTAATAAACTAAGTAAAAGTTTACTTACAATATTTTAATAATTTAACCTTTGAATTCCATCTGAGAATTAAATTTGTCGCATGATTTTATTATTGAGTACTGAACTGTTCCATTGATAATATGTCTGCTGCCTTCCATAAATAAAACATTTTTTGTTTCAATATTCAACAAGTATAATTCATTCAAATGAACGCGATTGATTAGTAGCTCCCAGTGCATGGGTCACTACTTTTTATTAGTTTAATAAATATTAAAAATAGAAATATATGGAATGTTATTTTTATCTATACTTATTTAAACAAAATTTCAATGTTGATTTTCTTTCTCAAATTGAATGCTTGTTTCAAATGTTACTATTATTATTATTATTATCATCATCATCATCGTCATTTAAAATGGATAAATATTTTGTTGTGCACGCTTACGTTGTAAGCTTTTTGTAGATTTCTTTTGATGACGATCATTTTGACGATTCAACATTACATCTGCTGGTTTTGTTAATGATGGTAGAAATGGTTTTAATCCAATTGAATAAGCTTGTGTAACTTTTCTTAAATTTAAATCATGTAATTGTTGATAATGATCATTTGAGGTTTTTGAATTAATCGATTTAGTTTGCAGATTATTAATGGATATTTCCAATGATGTAGTTGAGTTATTATTGTATCCTGTGGCACTTTTTATTGGACGAGTTATTTTTAATTCGCTATTGAATCTATTTTGTTTAATTAGAAAAGTTTTGAAGAAAGAAACATGTATTTAGTGAATGATTAGTATACAGAAACAGAAATATAAACCGAACAAAATTTACTTACAATATTGTGAAGAATATTAATAAAGGGATATGTTGTGGTAGAACGAATGTTGAAGAAAGTGTAATTTTTGGGACTAATCTACGGCTAGTTATTATTTTTATTGTGTAATTAGTAGATAACTGTGTTTTTTTTATTCTCTTTATTATAAGCTTCCAATGAACTCATTAAGTGTTGCTGTATATTCTAGTATTCCTTAATTATGGATAACTAATCAGTCACCTTCCCATTCCATTATCTTTTACTTTTGGAGTAGCCATGCCGATATTGTAATTTTATATTCATGTTAATGTCAGTTCAAGAAACTGATCAATATTACTTTACGAGTTGAATCACACAAGGTACATACATTACTGCTTCATGTGTTCTATTACCGGACTACTGGCTGGACTAAAAGAAGAGCATACGTTCTGAACTAATAGTAGTTAGGATTATTCTTGGATTCAAATTCAACTTTAACCTTTCCATTAGAAGCACATATCTGGGTTGAAACTTGAGACGCTAGGAGATAATGAAAACAGTATACAGAACTTATCGATCAACTTGTCGTTTAAAACAGGACAATATGTAATAAAAGTGTGTGGAGAAACTCCAAGAATTACAGTGAATTCCTAGAAGCATGACATTCAATCGATTAGTGATCCACAAACATACACTTAATCCATGAATCATACGGAATAGGTCAATTAGTCGCAAGACCAGAGGTCACTCGACAAAGACAGTCGAAATCAAAGCAAAAGACATACGAAGACAGAACCAAAACCGAGGCTATAGGAACAAACTGATAAGACATGTATAGAATAACTAGGAAGACAATTTCTATGTGAAAACAGTGCTCCAGATGTTGTCCTCAATAGTAATGAAAGCTCTGAAACCAAACTACCTAGCTCGGCGAACACAACGCAACCAAAAAGTTATGTATGCCACTTAATATCTCCAAATACTGATTTCTAATATCATATGTTTATCAGTGCACAAGCTGTTTATCTCCCTAAATACTGTAGATTGATAATCGCTGATCTTGTGCGTTAATCATCATACAATTAGTACAAACAATAATGTTACATAAATGTTAGCGATTCTTAACTATACATAAAGCACACTTTAACAATTTCATTTGGTTTTAATCAAAAAACCTATACGGTTAAGTTAAGATACTATCATTTCAATAATACTGATGATTAAATACTTCATAAGCTATTTACATTGTTTCCCCTTAAAAACGGATTATAGCGAATGGTTAACCTTAGTCCAAATATGTTTGAAGAACTCTCTAAAGTTAGTAGTCTTTGAGAAACTTTTTGTCTGTTGGCATATGTCCATTCAGTGCAGATTGTCCGGACACTGCCATTTAGTCACAAGTTTTAATTCGAGTTGGATAGTAACTAGTATACGTTTCGTTCTATGTAACACAGATGTACTTTCATCCTTGTGTGAAAAATTAACTTACCAACTGTTGATATATCTTTTTCCATTCACAAATTTTATTTAGTTAACTTGGTACCTCTTACTCAAAGTTTTTTCTTACCACAAATAGCCTGGTTATATGAGCTACCATATGTGATTTCCAATATATTGTGGAGTTTTGATCTTGTAACTAGGTTTTTGAGTCATGAAAATCGAAAGTAATTTGGCTTGGTGTTCTCATCAGCTATGGGGAATAAGAAAAGCCCCCGCAGAAAAACAGACCTTCGAATTTTCCAGTAGTTATATGGTCGTTTACGTTATTGATTAATGTGAACGTCATCAGTGAACTCTATAATCTAATGATCCTATATAGTGAGCATATTAAATTGTTAAACTCATGGTAGTAATAATCTGACTGTTCACTTGATTATGCACTAAATTTCCTTAAAAAATCGTTTTACTTATAAGTAGTATGAAGAAAAATAGATACAATTATCGATTTTAGCTAGTTGTCAATTAATTTACTATACTAGATACACAAATGAAAACAAATGTTGATACTTATTTAGAGGTACATGAGAATAGATCTCTTAATTTGAATGACTTATCAGTAGTTGTTTTTTGTTTTTAAAGAAAACGATCACATTTAATATAATTACACTAAGCCATTATTTTTGATAGTTGAAGCAACAGTTCATCAGTTTATTTTAAGAATGTCGATCTGTTTAAACAAAGAAAAAAAAAGTCCTTTCTTTTCTTCACATTCAATATGTCACATTCTTAACTGACATGTTATTTCTAACTGAACATTTTTTCAGAACTTCCTTCTTAACAAACTATTCAACTTATTTAAAAGAAATATTCGATCAAAAACAAAAAAAAAGACCAGATAGATTGAAGAAATGTTTTACTTACTCTTAATGTATCTGTGTATATACATAGTAGTTTTTAAGTATGTTAGTTAATAAAGTTTCAGTTGAATAGTATAGACAATCAAAATAGAAGAATTTTAACGTTTATAGAGAACTACATTCTTTTACTTTTAAACTATAATCATTAATATTAAATAATCAAAGAGTTAATAAGATTTAAAATGAAGATGAGAAGAAAAAAGAAGAGATATTTGAATATCTTATTCAAAGACATTTTACTTTAATTAATATTTTGATGATGGTTGGTGACAATCATTAGGGAGATATACTCTTATATAGGTTGCAAAATGTGTCAATCAAAGAAAAAAAAATCAAGTGTAATAACAAACTCTCACACATAATAAATATCATATTCGTTCAATGAAATAATGTTTATTTAAAATGAATAACTTATTGAAGAATGTGTAGGTATTTGAAGTGATAGATATAAAGGTATTGAGTATACTTGTGAGAAAATGAATCCTTAGTACGAAGAAACATGTGCTTTGAATTCCACTGTTAACCACAATCTGTAAATATTGGGTAGTTGAAAGTACCCAGTAAGAAATTCTATTAAGGTCTAGATTTCATGCTAGTTGGCACACATCAGTAGGATTTACCTGAAACTTTAAGGAAACTGATGCTCTTTTTAGGATTCAAGTCCACGTTACCCAGCTTCACAGGCTCATAAGTTACCATTGAAGTACTCGGGTACCAACTGACCTTCTGTAGTATTGAAATATTTACAATCGATTGATCAATAAGTAGTGACCAATGTCATCCTTGTCTGGTCCTCTAGTGTTGATTGATTTCTATCGATCAAGTTTCAATATGACTACTTACCTAGGTGACTCGACACCATGTGTAATATGTTCCGATGTTAAGTGATAGTATATGATCAACAGAAAACCGTGAAATACAACTAATGAGGAAAAAATGCTACGCAACTAAAATAGAATTTCCGAAATCTATTCTATATACACCCTGGCACCAGGATAAAAGTCATCTGATTGTAATTATAAAATAAATCTTATTTACGATGTTCATATAAACCCATTTTCTATCAAAACATGCAACGCAGACTGATGTGGGTCAGAAAAGTACTAAGACTAACAGCTTACCAATAGTACGACAGAAATCTACTAATTTATTGATCGTTAGTCCGGATAACTTCATTAGTATCGTCTGGTTTCTGACTGACTGAAAACAAGGTAAGCTCTCACAATCTGGAATTTAAAGGTGACCAAACTTCTAATATAACTAAAATTCAGTTAACTGCAGCGATAAAATGAACGTTCTATGCAGCAAAGCCACGACTACCGTTCACTGGTAGAAACTTGTCTTCTGTATCCGTAACGGATAAGCCTCCTCGTCTGACCGCCTCTATGTACATCTACCAGTTCACCTGCTCTTGTGGAGCAAGTTACATAGGCAGTAGCCAGCCCTTACTTTTAACTTGAATACGAGAACACGTCTCAGTGTGGTTCTACGAGGGTGTGAGGAAAGCAGTTGGAAGGTCCATTTTTAAACATCTAATCGACTTTAA